TTTCCGCTTTGCGTACTACCACAAATAAAAATTGTGGTGGGTTCTGAAAATGGTAGTAGAGATTTTGTTTTCCACCATTCGATCTGCGTTGCCATGTTTCCCTTTCCTCTACTGATTAACGAATGATTTGACATGTAATACTGAACAAGTATTTATAAAAAAAAGTCACCAATGTCATATATCATGTTTATTGATACAAGAATTCATGTATGAAACTACGTACAAAGTCATCATTTAGTTGAATGCTACTAGAAAATAAAGTATAAACACGTGACAAAGACATTTTAAGACACAATCTAGATATCAAAAATACAAGTACATAAAGCCCACACAAATCTGAATAGGAAGGTTGAAGTCGTTTACATTTAAAGTTACAGAATTCACTATTCTTATAAATAAAGTTCTCAATCTCTGGATAATTCCCAAGTTGTTTCCCTAGACTGTCAAAGAAATCAGCCTCCGAGGAACTGTGTATGATTACAGCGATCCAATGTTCTCCAGGAAATGGCAAAGGTTGCGTATTGATGACGAAGGCACTTGGGTAATGCGTCACGACTTCCGGTAAAGTATTACTGGCATATACTCCTTTTACAAATCGTTTTAGTAGATTCCTTGTGCACAAAATCGAGGAGCTGTTTTGAATTCATGGTTGAATGTAATTGATGTCCCGGGACTTGTCCACTTCTAGGAGAGAGGAAAAGGTGGCAAACACCAAAACGTTTGCAGCTTTTGTTGTTGCTTGTTTGAACTTTAGTTCGAGTCTGGTGTTTCCTCTTCGAATCAGGTTTAAATATTCTTCACCAAAACCACAGGGATCTATGGTAAAGATGAACAGAGAATATCCACTTCCAAAGTTGTCTCGAGTAATTACTAGCCCGGCGTCTTGATTCCATTTTCCAGAGGCCTCAAACAGTCGAGCATATGCTGATGAATAATGTCCTGTCGTGAAATCGGTTTTAAGGGCCTTCCTGGGACACTTTCTCCGTTTACGTATATCCCTACATCCGTTACACCAAAATGCTCGAAATTGAAAGGATTGGTTGTGTAATCCCCGTTAACAGCTTTTTGATCTACCAATCCTACAACGATGCGGTCGGGTACTGCCTGAGGAAAAATGTTGTCCCAGTAAAATTCAGTAGATCCTCTAGGAATGGTGTTCATTTTCAATTCATTTCTTGAGATGGTGTATTTTACAGGTGTAGATTCTATCTGCTTGCTGTGGTTCAATAGAACTCCAGGATCTACTCGCACTTTGGCCACTTTGTACACGACATCTAGTAATTCCAGTCTGTAAGCCGGGGTGCTCTGTGCTGACATCATTACAAAAGGTGCACTAGATCTAAAAAGCTTGATGTAGATATCTACGCCATTGATCAGGTATTTGTCGATGTCAAAAATATCTTCCATCAGGTTACCCTCTAGTTCAAATACTTTACTTTCCTGTGTATAGCCGTATCGCAGGACTAGTCCAGCATTGCCACCATTGTAGGCATTCGCATCACCCAAATTTCCTTCGTCCTTAAAAAACAACTGGGACTGCTTTGGGAAGATAATTCCTCTTTTCCACCAAACAAGACTGTTTTCAGGTATGCCTTCCAAGGATAATTATTCGTATTAAAGGAAACCAACTTGTTATTTAAGTAGACATCCATCTGCGAAAACATGCTTTGCAATGGGAGATTCACAATTCTAGTCTTCTCATTGGCCGCTAATGAGGAACCATCCGCTTTTAAAATCCTGGCTTTTACATACAATCGGCTTCTTTTTAAATCGATATATTCCGCCCCCGATCCAGATACGACTATTTCTATGGGAGTATCTGACACTCCAATACTGGAAATCGGTCTGGCTTCAGTAAAATACACTTTTTCGACTGCTACCTGATTAGTGGGTGACGCAAAGAGAGAAAGTTCCATTGGCTGGGCTATGTCTTTATTATCACTGCTTAAGAAGGCCATCTTTACTGCTTAAAAACGTTCTTGTAACTATCGATCTTAAAGAGTTTTTTCGACTTTTGTGATGCCTTTTTTCCTCCAGATGTATGTCGCTTTTTAGGTCTTCCGTTCGTTTTCTTTTTCGAGACTGGTTTTTTCTTCCCAATATTGAATTTCTTGCTCTCCCTCCCCCTCTTGTGCGATGTTAAGGTCTTCAATTTTTTAGTAGGAATGACAGTGGAGTGTTTTGATGGTCTTTTTATACCCTTGGTCACCTTGACAAAGGGAACGCCTTCTTTTACGTCTTTCACATGTTCCGATTTGGCTCTCTCTTCCACGGCAGCCACCGGTGTCACTTGAGGGGTAGGGTTAACGGATTCTAACTGTGAATGAGGTCTAATCGGAATGACATAAGATTTTCGTTTTCTCATACCCCATCCAATTTGTTTGGGTTTATATTTGTACGGACTGAACTTTTTCTCTGCCATGTTTTTATAAAAAGCTTCCCAGATTTTAGGGTCACTTATGTACGTCTGACTATTCATTATAAAACGTAAGGGAATTTCTTAAAGTGAAGTGTAGCGCTCACCGGTCCGTCTAAAAATGAGACTAAGTTGCCTGCTCTGTCCGTTATATATATTCAGATCTGTTGTAATTGACCAATCTTTACGGGAAGATAATAAGGTAACGTGTAGATGATGTTGTTCTCCTGTTTTTCTCCAAGAAAAACTCGTCGTAAGAGGGGTACGTCCTTGCCACCAACAATGGTTTCCTCGCATATGTCACAGCATATGTATACCTCAGGGGTTTTCTTGGCTGGATCCCAACTCTCTGTAGTAAATTCTGTTAAAGCAACTGTCCAGTATCCATCCAATTGAATTTGTTTATTCAAGTGAACTCGAAAACAATTGGGTTTATTGTCAAAATATTCGGAGCTGTCTGTAGACCTCAACACCATTCGAAGGCTCATCTTGACTGATGATGATTTGTTAAAAAAAACTGTATTTATTTAGTGTTTTCTAGAGAACTTTCGAGAATCCACGAATTGAATTTACTAGGCCATCCGTCCCATTTTACGTACACTTCCTTTTTATTCCCGCGTTTTCGCTTTTTCAACACCTTTTCCGCTCTATACAGAATATCTCCCGACTTCATGACTTTTTGAAGTTTCGATTCATAAAAAGTGCCTTCTATTGGATCATCGGCTAAATCCTTTATTTTGTACACAGGTATACCAGCTCTCTTGTAGCGATTAGACACTTTAAAATATTCTTCAGTCCATTTTTGCTGCGCAAGTGAGTTAAGGCTAAGTACAAATGTTTCTATGCAAATGAACTAATAAAAACACATTAGGGCTATACTTGTTATACAGAAAAGGTAAAACTTATTTTCTAATGCAAACTTGGTACCCGCGACAGGTGATAGTCAGTACACATTATGACGTCATATTATGACGTCATAGCTCTTTACTACACAAAGTTATAAAGAACATCAACAAAAAAGTTTCGGCGCAAGGGCATACCCTATTTATTTTTACAGAAACATGGTCTAATTAGAGGCAGAATATTCCAAGGATTAGAGATATTGCTGCACAAATATCGACAGATCAATTGTTAAGTTACTATCTGTAAAAGTCCGAGTTGAAACGGGGTAAAAATTCATAGTCTGGTGCGAGTTTCCTCAAATTCTTATCAAACGAGAAAGTGCATAGGATTTGTGCAGAACTATTATTAATCTTTAGAATATTCTTCGTAGAATTATACATTATTTTCGTAAAATTAAATAGGGTATGCCCTTGCGCCGAAGCATTTTTGTTGATGTTCTTTATTACTTTGAGTACTAAAGAATTATGACGTCGTGATATGACGTCATAATGTGCACTAGATATAATATGCATTGGGAACTAAGTATGTATAAGAAAATGAATTTAAGCTTTCTCTGTAGAATAAATATACCTCTTTTGCATTTTTATTAGCTCATATGCATAGAAACGCCTATACCTAGCCTTAACTCACTTGCGTGGTAGTCTCTTTGAAATGGATGTTTGAGCTGTGAAATACGTACGTTATGACCTATTTTATACTTAAAATTTGGTTTAGTTCTTTTCTTTTTATTAATCGATTTGATTGTTTTTTCCAACTTGTTTTTCCTCATAGGATTCTTTTTGGTACTGAGATAGGAAATGAGTCTCACCTCATCTGCATTTTCCTTGGTAACAGTAACAGGTGCTTGTTCTCCAAGAGATCTGTGAGGTCTCTGGTTATAACTAGTCACTAAATCTTGTAAAACATCAACATAACGGTATGTTCTATTTTTCAGAAAATAACGATACATAAGATTTTTCATGGTACGAATAACTCTTTCAGCATAGTTTGCTTTAGTTTCATTCTGGGTGTATATGACATGGACACCCTCCTTTTTTAAAAACGCTTTTACCCAGCGATTTTTAAATTCACTTCCTTTATCTGTTCTAAGAGTATTCGGTTTTCGTCCTGTTTGGAAAACATATTTTAAGGCATCCGTGATATTTCCGTGTTGCTTATTTTTCAATGGTACTATGAACAAAAAGCGACTGAATATATCTATCAACACTAACAAAAATTTGTAACCATCATTCTGAGAAGAAATATTTGTGACATCGGCTAAATCACCATCCCACATAGAATCAATGGTGTTCACTACGACCTTTGAGCGGGGAAATGAACGACGAATAGGTTTCATTAAACTGTAAGGATCTTCGTTGTTCAAAAATTGTCTGATCCTTATTCTTCCTATTTTGTACTTTCCATCTTGTTTTACGGCTTGATAAAGTTTTTCTGGACCTCCAAATGCTCCCAGATTTCCAAGAGTGTAGTAGAGTTTTCTAAAATAATCTGTATACTTTGACATCCTGTACCTGACTGATCATTTTTTCTTCTTATTGTTGTATTATGTACCAAATAAATCATAAAACATTTTTAAAGTATATTCTTTTTTATTATTATGAATATCCTGATGCAGTTATACGTATGTACATATAATAGTATTTTATACCACATGAGCAATACAATTTAATCAAGAACACTGTCATTCATTGTCACTTTCAATTGTCAGCGTGTCTTGTAAGTCACCGACATTACATTCCATGGACACATCTATCTTAGGCTCGTAACCAAATGGACTACATTCTGGGCAATTCAACATCCCAAGCTGATTTTGATGGGACTCTGTGAATGCACAAAGTTCGGTGTCATTTAATTCTGGAACAGACTGTTGAACTTCCTCAAGGGCCTGTAGTAATCTGTTCAATTTGTATTTGTTCAGGGTCACGCCTCTTCTAGTTGGAACCGGTTCCAGGGCATCATCGGGCTTCCAAAAGTGTTTGATATCTACTGTACCATATCCGGGAGTAATCGAGACGTACACTCCCCCTCCTATATGACATTTCATTTCTTCGTCTGTTCTGTTGTGCAGATGATTTTGGATATCTGGAAGAATGGATTCAAACCTCAACCATCTGGATAATGGAAATGTTACTCCCTTCTTTGTGGGTATCAGACCATTGTTGGCTGCTGTAAACTGACGGATGTGTATATTGATTCTGTCTTTGAAAGACACGGCTGTGAGGAAAAGTTCACCATCCAGATTGATTCTGCATCGCTCATCTTGAGATATTTGTCGTGCTACAGAATCACTCTTTGGTTTGCTTTCAGCATACTGATTTTTGGCCGTGTTTACAGCTAAGGATCTGGCCATAGCTAATTTCTTATCGTACCCGGACATGGCATCTTCGCTGTCAGTGAGAAGCTTGGATAAATCTGTTTGGCCGGCTTTCATCAGCGCCATTCGGAGACCTCTAAAAGCCTTCTGTCCTCTCCGAAGAATGATGCTGAGTAGTTTTCTGTTTTGATCGTAATTGGTCTTCTCAGTCTCAATTTGTTGCTTCATTTCGTCTGTGATAATGTTAGAGTCATAAAGATGTCTGGCAACCGTGGAGGTCCTTATTTTCTTTACCAGGGTCGAGTAGTTCTTTTTTATAACATCCTGATGTTTTTGCTCCATGTCTGTTGAAACGATGTTATGCCTAGTAAGATCGGCTTAGATCTGATGAAAAATGTTTATAATCACTTCGTTTTATAGCAAATTATCACGTGGGTTGGTTGACCGTAGACGGCCCTAGGAGTGGTGCCCTCAGATGACCCTACGAGGGATGCCCGCAGACGGCCCTTACAGTGGTGCCTGCAGACGGCCCTAAAAGGGGTGCCCGTAAAGTGCCCTCAGACGGACCCATGACGTCATTGACCCTGACAAAAAACACCAGACAAACATTCTACAACCCTTTTTTTCTGAGTTACTTTACAAACTTTATAACTGATTTTGTGCTTTCAAAATAGATTCGTCCATATGATCTACATATGTTTTCAGGTATTGCCAGTGTTTTTTAGTCAAGGTAATACCTTCGTCACTCGGTTTTCCGGAATAAAACCGTCTTATGTCAATCTGTATGGTTTCGTTGTCACATATCATAGCGTATACGTCGTTGGAAAGCGGGTACCGATCCACGTAAGAACAAGTTTTATGCATATCTTTTTCACTGACAATAGTACACAGAGAAATGATAAGTCCAATCACCATAAAACTAGGTATCATGATTCCAATATTCTTTTTCAATTTCTCTTTTAACATATCTTTAACACTATCACTTTTTAGAATTTCCATCACAACCATTTGCTCAGCCATCTTAAATAAAAATGGTTTTGCTCAACCTTTGCATGCCGATTTATATAGAGAACTCGTATGACGTCATTTTTTTACTGTATAAGTCTGATTCTCTTTAGGGTCTTGGAAATTATCTTTTTTTCGTCACAACTTTCCGTTTTACTAAAATTTAATATTGTTCAGATCCTCAGCTGTCTCTGTTGTCCCAGATTGACCTCAGACATTTTTATGTCGTTTAATTTTAAATGTAGGATTGTTGACAATAATATTTCGGCGTGTTCAATTCTCCTTTTAAAATGTGCTCTATCTATAGCATACTGCATCCATATTCCTTTCCGTTCTTCAAGTGGTATTGATATAATTTGTACATGATTGTCAAATTGAACTTTCTTCTGCATTTTGTTCATCTTAAACACTCTACATTACTGATTACAGACAGTATTTTTTAGGCATAATCCGACGTTTCAATAGGTATTCATTTGTTCCCCAGCAATCTGCAACATCATATCCTTCTCTCATTTTCTGCTTAAAATCAGTAATACAATCTTCTTTTTTATCAAACCATTTGCTCTCTAAAAGTGTCCATTTTTTTTTCATCTCTTCTGATACAATTCCACGCTAAAACTTTCCACTTGTACTGTGTGTTGCTATCACCCATGGTTAAAAATAAGATGTTTATGTATTGTTAAATATATATATATATGAGTGGTGTCCTTAAACAGCCTTTGGAGTGGTGACCTCAGACGGCAGTAAGAGGGGTGCCCGCAGACGACCCTAAAAGTGGTGCCCGTAAAGTGCCCTAAGAGGGGGTGCCCGCAGACGGTCCTAAGAGCTGGTGCCCGCAGACGGCCCTAAGAGGGGGTGCCCGTAAAGTGCCCTCAGACTACCCCCTTTACTACTCATATCTTACCTATTAATGCAGATATTTATAAAAAAATCTCAGGTGCCTACTTTTACGATGTGTTACCGTCGCCATCTTGTTTCGTCCAATCCGGCACGGGATCACGACAGTGAGCTTGGTAGATATCCATTGACCAGAGCTCCAGATAAGGTGCGTATTTGCAGAAATATGCATTGAATTTTTCAAAATACGCATTAAAAATTAAATCAGGGCGTACAATTACGCATAAGCATTACACTACGAAAGTACTGCGTACGACAGATTGAATGTTAACTACGCAGCACAGTTAAGGCTGCAGTAAGGAGGCGGGGCTTAATTTATACGGGAAATGCTTACTATGACATCACACAAAAATATAAGTTCTTCAAATTACCTCAAAATGAAATGATTTGTTATTTTAAACTGTTGAATAGCTTTAAACTAGATCAATACTAACTAGTGCATGCATTATTGTCGTTGGTTAAATCCCACACAGCAATATATGAACAATTCACTGATCGCAATGCACTTGTCAATGTGACGTCATATCGTAAAATTTGACGCAGTTTGTTTGCAGTGAGAGGCGGATCAAGTTATATTTATACAATGAAAAATGTATTTTGTAATTAAATAAATATAAATTGTAGATATATAAGAGGCCATTAACTTGGATGTGATGTCTATTTTATGATTTTATTAATATACTTCCCGTACATTCCCCTAGACAAGCGATACTGTCGTATATTTGTGTGCATATTCATTGAAGGGTAATAGAAGGGTCGTAATAAATCGATATATTGCAAGGGTATACCCTCAATGAATTATGACAAGCTTTTACACATAAACTCAAGAAGTATGAAGATATTTTAAAAGTGCTGCGAACCTGTTTAAATCTTGCAAATGAATTAATTATATCTATATTTAATGTACTTGACCAGCAAAATATTCAACATACGGTCTTACAAATGTAATTTTAGCAATTAGATAGTAGAATCTATATAGGTTCGCAGCACTTTTCACAAACTACAGAAAGTGTTGAAAATAATTATATGATAAACTTAGATTTTTAACTTGGTTATGCCCTTGCAATATTAGAATTTATAGATGACCTCAATACTTCAGGTAAATTTGCTAAAATCACGTGACTGCCCCATCACGTGACACGTCTAAATAAGAAATCTAATCGTCCTCAACATTTAGTTTTCGACCACATTGCATTTGTCCGATAATGGTTAAGTCCTAAGAAGAAACTCCCATCCTTGTAAAGGATGTATTTTCTATCTAAAAAATTCACCGGTATTTCCATTTGGCACCTTAACTGTACTGCGTATATAATTATGTGAACTGAAGTCAGCTCAGTGTTTGAATTTTATCAAAAGGAAATTTTGATTAAGCGTATTCGGAATAACCTAGGCCGATTTCCAGTTCGGGAGAAAGATTTGAATATTAAAAACTCGTATTTTGTCTGATAATATCACAGATTTCCACTGTTCAACATCCAAATTTTCGTTCTTGACGCGTACAGGTCGATATTGTCAAAATTGCGCTAAAACACGTATGGTGTCTTATTTATTCTTTATCACTGTTTATTAAACAGTTCTTGTATATTTACCATTTTCTGTAGCAATAATATCATCTAAAGTCCGCCGACAACCTTTATTAATTGTATGAAAATAATATTGCTTTTCACATGCTTCTGTGCTATAAATAGCGCCACGCGACTTTTAATGCAAACGTGGAGTAACTCTAAAACCTTTACTTCGATCGACGCCAACAATTTATATAGTAAAATAATACATATTTTTGGATAAAAACAAACAACAAAATGGGAAACAACGGGGCGGGACATCTTGAGAGGGGCAGGTGGGTATGAAAATCTAAAGATTAATTTTATCTGGCTAAAGGAAGGATATTTTTCTCAGTAACTCTTGCTACGATCGATGTAGGCCTTATCTTAAATGAAGTTCTGTGTGCCTTTTGTAACTTTGCCTACCATATTTTCTTTCTGATAAAAAAAAAACGAAATGTTTCTAAGTTATAGCTAAAAGCTGACAAAATTTTTAAAATTTCATTAACCTTATTGATAAATGCAGAAACTGTCCTTTTTTTTTCTTTTTTACATTCCTCTTTCTAAAATACTTATGTCTATAACAAGCTAAAAATCACATTAGATGTCAAAAGAGCAATAGATTAACAAAATACTCTTTGATTATTTTGCCGAAAAGCAAAATCTGCAATGATTTGAAAATCAGGGAGTATATACACTTTGAGGTAAAAAGTTATCTGGAGCTCTGCATTGAGTGTAAATATTAAAATGAGAATGATAAAATTTTGGATAAAACTGTTGAAATGTAAAGAGACAAAATTGTGTCATATTTTATATAATTTTCATACAGCTCATCAATGTGCAACACTGTTAACTGTATTTTTGAATGGATTGAATGTATACGAAGTATTTTACAAGAATGTGGTTTGAATTATGTCTGGATGACGCAAAATGTTAAAAATGAGAGATGGTTGTTAAATGTAATTAAGCAAACACTGATTGATCAATTTCAACAAAAATGGAATTCATTTTGTGATACATCTAGTAAAGGCAAAATCTATAATTTGTCCACTAATAGTACTTTTACAACCAGAAACTATTTAAACATGAATGTTTCAATGAATATTATAATTACATTAGCAACATTTGGAACTAGTTATCATAAATTACCAATCGAGACAGGCCGATGGAACAATATACCTTCAAATGAAATATATGGAGATAACGAACAGTATTCAAGCTCAAAAGTCCATTAAACAATACAAAATCAAATCAAAGATTTTGTCCTTTATGTAATAATGATACTCGAGACGAATATCATTATATTATGTCATGTCCTGCTTTTAATGATTGTTAAAAATTGTATTTACCATCAACATATATAAGTCGACCAAGTGCTTTTAAGTTTTCAAATTTATTTTCATGTAAAAAGGTATCTGTCATCAATAAACTTTGCAAATTTATCAATATAATTAATAAGAGAGATACCCTTCCAGGTTAATGTAAACTGTACACTCTTGCATCATATATTTTGTTTGATATCGTTGTTGTATTTTCTCTATGTTGTTTAAACAATGTGAGAATAAATTGATTGATTGATTTTACAATAGGAAATATGGTCCAATGCAGATGCTGTATATGTTGACAAATCATGGTCCAAAGTGGAGTTTTTTGAAACATGAGGTTCTAATGTAGAGGTTACGATGGACGGAGTATATCCATCCTTGGCTGGGTTTAACAATACTTTTTGACGCGATATCTTTGCATCCCCACTCAAATCTAACCGTGGAGTTTCTGATAAGCGTTTTTGTCTTTTTTTAAGTCTTCAAAGTCATAAATGTTATCAACACGTGTCCTTTTGAAATCTAAAGACACTTGACACAAACTTGCGCAAGTTTCACACATATATATTTTATC